TTTGCATCTGTTGGACGAAAGGTACTTCGACCGCATACATGTTTACACCGATGGCTCCACTAATTCCAACAACTCCACAGGAGCAGTGGTTGTTCCATCTGAAAATGTGTTGCTTCAGTACAAGTTTTCTCACACCACGACGTCGACAGCAGCAGAGCTCGCAGCACTTCAAGGTGCAGTAAAGTACATTCTTCACCAGGAACCTAACCAATGGGCCATCTTTTGCGACTCCAGGTCAGCCTTACAGTCACTACGGTTTGTTCTGCAGCACGGGCTACATGAACAATCAGTATATCAGATAAGGCACGACTACCACGAAGCGCTCGCGGAAGGTCACGATATTGTATTTCAGTGGTTGCCGAGTCATTGCGGAATCGTTGGCAATGACCGCGCAGATGAAGCTGCTCGATCGGCTCATGACCAAGACCAGCGCACGCCCGTACCACTCTTGAGAACGGACGCTGCAAGGCTACTACAATCACTTGCTCGCCGTATAGCTTTTCTACAATGGAATACGCAGGGTTTCTCCAACACGCACCTGTATTCGATCGACCCAAACTTGCAACTTCGTTTGCCATCCGGGTTCCCACGATGCGCTGAAACTTTACTGTGTCGTATGAGGTTGGGCGTGGCATTTACGAATTCGTACTCTCGTCTCCTTGGAATGGCGAGCACTTCGGCATGCAACATCTGCGCCTGCGAGGAAACGCTTGAGCACATTGTATGTCATTGCCCGGCATACCAGACCGAACGACGTATTATGGAAGCCAAGCTCTGTCAGCTGGATTCACGGCCGCTTACAGAAGAGAAGATCCTGGGACCTTGGCCAACAGCTTACCATACGCGCAAAGCCACGAAAGCCCTCTTGTACTTTTTAAGGAACACCAAACTTCACGACCGCTTGTGAAAGAACTGTGCGAGGCCGTGCTGTGTAGTTTCGAGCTGACTATTCATGCTTCTCTTTCTTACTCCTCTACTTTTCTGTCTCTTTTCGTTCTATTATTCCCCTTTTCCCCCACCCCAAGTGTAGGGTAGCCAACCGAGCCAAGCTTGGTTAACCTCCCTGCCTTTCCTCTATATTTATCTCTCTCTCTCTCTCTTCGAATGCATTCTTTCTACAACAAACACGAAATTTGAAAAAAATACCACCTTAGTCACCAAAATGGAGGAAGGTGCACATGAATTTTGTTTTGTTCTTACAACAAAAACAAAATTAAAAAGAGATATGCCTCCTTAGTCACCGAAATGGAGGAAGGTGCACATGAATCATGCTCTGTGTATTTGGTATTCGTATTTCACTTTACCAAAACATTCATATTCATAACCGCTTCACGACACTTCCTAGTACTTTGTCATCACGTTAGCACATGGGCACCTTATCTAGGAACATTGGAACCTTTTTGTACGTGTTTTAAACCTGCCAACCACGAGCAGAATTCTGCCTCCTATTACTTTTGGATCTTCAAGGGTAATTGCTGCCAATCAATGAGTGCAGCAATAATTATCGTAGTCAAGTACTTATCATAGTTAAGGCTTTGAGCTGTTTGATGTCTTCTACTAGACTAAGGTTCTTCAAGTGACCTACAATTTTAGCTAAAAAACTACGTGTCGGACACATAAAAACATGAATGAGCAAATTCACATTCCATTTATAAACTTATGTTACAAGTGTGGTATCTTACTGACTTAAAACTTTCGTGTAAAACTGGCTGTTTACTTATAATTTTATATTTAAAACAACGCTATTGCAAAGTTAAAGCCGTGATTATATGTGATGGTGCATGACGCTGATGTGAATTGTGTACGGAAATGCATGCAGTTTAGTGTAGAAGAACAAGAAGAGACGAGCGTTTTAGTGTTTTTTTATAGCTATTGTTGTATTTAAAACGTTTTTTTTATAGGTGAATATACAACAGTGTTATCGAAGTGCTTGTACCATAGCTGTTGTCTTTGTCTTTGAAGGCCGAATGACAGCCTCACGCCATTCTTGAATTCTTGATCCTTTGCCTCCTATCATGTGTGTTGTGATAAATCAAAGAATATCAAATCGAGTAATTATTTATTGACTAGATGTATAATCATACAGTTGTGTTTTGTCATCGTAGCTTGACTTCAGCATCATCGCGCTGATTTCACAACTGAAGCAAATGTTTACCTGCAGCTGAACGAATGGTAATTATATCTATGTCTATCATTCTGAGGTGTCAAGTTACCGCATTATTCAAGCGAAGTAGCATTGAGTATATTTATGACCTACATAGCCATAAGGGTCTTTGGAAGCCTAAAATATTCTGGCGACTTCTCTCATGCCGTAGTAGCGTAGGCATCAAATGAGTGGCCTGACAAAGCGCAATGAAATAATGATCTGCTGGACAAAAAGTAACCTTTATTTACCAGTGCCACGAAGTTTACAACCATTTTGCTGATGACATTGATCTCTTTAGCCACTGCTGCCTTGTAATCTCCTTAGGACACTCCTGAAGCCAAGCACCGACATAATGGCGAAGAACACCGTTGCATAGTTACAAACAAGAGGCATAGCGAGGACGCCAAAGGTTTGAAATGGCGGGAAACCTTTCAATGCGGAACATGTTTCAGAAGGAATTGTTTCTAAAGGAACACTCGCGTTCTTCATGAGATCGGCTTGAGGTTTTTGGGTTGACTTCGGCCGACGAAAACGAGTCTGATTCATGAAACATTGCTTCCACCAGTATTGCCGATTGTGCGTCCTAAATGTAAGCTTCTTTCCATAGCGCACTTTCTGTATAAATTATTTGTGATCACTTTGTCCTTTACCATCCTATGCGGATCTTTTGTGGTTACAATGCGCGACTGTTGACCCGAATGTTGCAAGAAGGAATCGTCGCCGTGGTGGCCACATTGCGATGCAGTCAAAACACAACGGGACCTTGTACTTAGATTTAGACATACGTAAAACAGCCACATATGTTTTATCTATCCAGTTGTTTATTCACAGTTGCGCAATGATGCCAACGGCAACATACATATTAGCAACAACGGACGCGGTAAGCTGATACGAAGTGCCTGTGCTCATTAGATCAGTAGCCCCAAAAACTGCTACATAAAGCAACGTATATATGAGGAAAGCGCCTAAGTACACTAGACATTAACCCTACTTGCCGGGTGCATTGTAGCTGTGCATATGTAATGATTATCAAATTGAATAGCCATCACTGTTTTGTCAGCTATAATGCTTCGAAAGTTTTTGCACCTTTCATTTACTGGTTGGCAATAAAGTCGCAAGATCTCTCACATGTAACCAAAGTAGGTCATTGAGAACAAAATATTAGGCAACTTTAGAGCAGAAAACCAGGACTTTACTGGAGGCTTTTGAAACAAGTGTCTTCGGCATTCCACTATCATCCACTCATATGGCAGTGTTTGCCTCACGATAAATATTCTAAAGAAGAAAAGGGGCTGGTGGAGGAGGAATTTGTTGACCGGAAACTCTGCGTCTGGATGACATGGTACTTACTCATCGCAGAATGCATTGAAACGCAAGTGGGGGCACCGACGCCGTTTACGTGTGTCCTTGAGTGCCCACTGCATCCATCGACTGTATAGGCCTGTACAAAACCCCGTAATAGAAGAGTCGTTTTCAAACACGACGTGCACACTCGTGCATGCTTCCTCAATTGAGAACTCTCGCTCACTTATATTCAATCTGCTACACATGGTAGAAAATTATCACCGCTCAGAAGGCACTTCAATGACAGAGAAAAAGTTCGAATGGCTGCGGCCATTTCAGCGAGAGCTCCGCCATTATAGTTTCTCGAAGTCAAGACCCGATGCTGCAAGCACAGAGGAAAAAGCCAGTGTCGTAAGGCACTAGAATAGAGAGGGCACCCAAAACAAGTGGTTCTGCGATAAGTGACTACTGGAGAGGCTGACATAAAACTCAGCGAATGAACGCAAAATCGCATAGAAAGCCACACAGTTGTTCGAAGTTTGTGAACTGCAGATGTTCCTGAATTGTAGAGTTCATGAAAAGATATATGAGAGAATCATAGGTGCTGATGTCTTGCGTACGCCAGGCTTTACGTCATTTGTGAACCCTCCTCTTTTTTTAAAGGCTAGAGCCTTAAGTGTCTGTACATTGGCGTTTCCCTCCGAGAGTCTTTGCGAGATGTCACGAGTGTTGTGAAGGGTGTTGAAAATATGCACGTGACATTCTTCGAGCTCGCGATTACGTCACAGTGACGTCATGAAGTCACTGATTGCCTGAGTTTCTGAAATCATCATGGGTTCATTGTCCCGTCACAATGTGGCGTCATCAGTTGACACCGTCCAATGGTCACAAGTGAGTGGCCTGATTCGGGAAGCCATATAAAACCTTGTGAAGTGCAGTAACCTTCAAGAACATTGGATTCTACGAAATACGGGAAGGTTATTGAACTGTTGAAGCCTACTACGAACTCTGCAGCTTGCTAAGAATGCCAAGTTAACGCTGCGGTTTGTTATGTTCTTGCAGATATTCTTGTGGCCTATTTTATAACTTGACGAGTTACAAACAGGTCCACAGGCTTTCATCTTCAAATGATACAAAGACAGTAATATGCTTCTAGTTTTTGTTCTACCTTTATCCTTCAAGTGTGTTAGGTGGAAAATGGTACAATTAGGCCAAGGTAAGCAGTCAGAAATAAAAAAAAAACAGATATGAGACACAAGACAGAATGAAAATAAATGTTGAATTGCTTTCTTTTCACTGTATCTTGAGTTTCAAATTGCTTTTATACGGTTTTACAATCTATCAGACATCGCCTTCTTATGCCTCAGCCAGAACTAAATACGTCTAACATGTGTGCCACATTGTCTCGCTCCTATGTCTTGTCTCCCTACTTTTAATGGATAACATTGCTAATGATAAGGTGCAGAATCATGGGTCGATGTTTGGAATTGGACGGGATGTCGCTGTAAGTAGTACGCGATAAGAAAATTCATTAGACATAAAGTGAGGGTCAGTTAGACGGTACTTAGAGTAAATCACAGATTTATTCGGTGGGAAACGAGTTCCCGGTCAGCGTACATTGTCAACCTGTTTCAGGAGTGATTCATGGAATCCTTCTCTTGGTCGAATGAGGTGAAAGAGCAGGTGGAGTGGAAGCTCTTGAGTTGAGTAGTACGCTGCAGACTTCAGGTGGCTTCACTACATCCTAGAAAGTGGTAAGAATAGTTACTGTCACCATAAAGCGCATTGAAGTTACCCTTTCTGACTACCACTATACGCTATAATAAATCAACAGTGTGACAAAGGTAAAGTAAAGAATTCATATATGCCGCAAAGGCTGACTATCTAAATATATGGAGGACCCAAGTAGGTTGGCCTTATCAATGTCACAATGATTACCATGACAGAATATAGACTGCAGTGAGAACTCCTACGTTGATGCGAAAAATTGCAATTTAGGCGGTGAGTGTCGCATCTAGAATAAGAAAAAAACTAACACATGTCTTCAGCGTACAGGATCAATCTACAAAAATTACACTACTTATATGCTATCAAATTTATTTCCTCTGTGCATAGCGTATTATTTCAGTGTGGGAAACGAAGCGAGCGATCCCTTATATTTTCCTGCTGGGCCTTAATCGTGGCACACTCCCGTGAATTGTGTCAAGGTATAATTGTTGCTTATAGTATGAAAACGGATCTCCTTATAATATTGCGCATGGTTTTTGATTAAACACCAAGGGTGAAGGGACGAAGAAGCTCAAAATTGACTAGAGGGCCCGTCGCTTCCCAACACCCACTCGCACTCTAACGACCCAAACGTAGTTAGAACTAGATATTAGCGTTAGCACTACACTACTGCCTCCCTGTGCTTACACCTGTAGTGGACTTAGAAAGGAGGCTTACCTGACTGAGTTTAAAACGCTAAAGAACACTGGTGACAGATTTCACTTGTGATGCTTGACGAGCAGTAGCTTGCCAACGACACCACCAGCTCCAGCACCACCAGCACCATATCCTCCGCCTCCGTAACCTCCACCGAGGCCTCCAGCTCCATAAGCGCCCCCTCCGTAGCCTCCTCCGAGACCACCAGCTCCACCACCAATCAGTCCAGCACCTCCGATGCCAGCGCCTCCACCAATGCCGGCTCCGCCGGCACTTCCGAGACCAGAGTGTGCCACAATGGCTCCACCGCCATGCACTTGAGAGACGTGGTGCACCGTGCGAACGAGGAACGCAGGCCCTGCCACCGATTTGCTTGCACCCGCACGGCCGCCGTTCAGCAGGACTACGCTGCTCCCAACACCCACGTTGCCACTGCCTCCTCCCAGACCTCCGGCACCAAGGCCTCCTCCTCCACCGAGGCCACCGGCACCAAGCCCTCCACCGTAACCTCCGAGACTACCACCACCATAGCCTCCAAGACCACCCCCGCCGTAGCCTCCACCGACTACCACCTCCAGTGCCGCCTCCACCGAGGAATCCACTGAAGGGCGCTGCCGAAAAGGGCCGTGAACAGGACGGTGTGCACCTGCAATCGAATGCGGTCAAGGTGATTGGCGTTCGGGAATAAAAACGTGGCGTTCAGGAATAAAAAGAAATTTCAGTGTTTTACGTCCCAAAGCCACAATAGGATGATTAAGAATGCCGTATCAGCAGGCTTCACAAATTTGAGCTCCTGAGTTACTTTAATTAACCTGCACCGAAATTGAAGCCCGCGGGTTCCTAGCATTCCCCATTAAACAAAATTAGGCCGCCATGGCTGAGACAAATTTGGCCCCGTGAAGTTTAAATTAGTGGTCGATTACGAAAATCTCTAAACGACAAGGTGATAGAAAATGATGAAACAGACACGCAAATTTGTTCTCAAAGTATGACCTTGCAACTGTTGTAGATTTTCTAACGGAAGATAAATATTGTAGGAACCTTGATTGTAATAACAAAAGAAATGAATTCACATAGACCGAAATAGAAATTAATGTTCGCTAATGTATGTTTCTCTTTCTGAAGTGCGTTTTCGATATTTCTGAGACGCTGATTGATTGATTTGTGGGGTTTAACGTCCGAAAACCACTATTTGATTATGAGAGACGCCGTAGTGGAGGACTCCGGAAATTTTGACCACCTGGGGTTCTTTAACGTGCACCCAAATCTGAGTACACGGGCCTACAACATTTCCGTTTCCATCGGAAATGCAGCCGCCACAGCCGGGATTTGATCCCGCGACCTGCGAGTCAGCAGCCGAGTACCTTAGCCACTAGACCACCGTGGCGGGGCTTTCTGACACGCTGGCTACCCTATTCTGAGGTTCTTGCTTATTAGTACCATAATGCATGGGTCACGTATCATGTTTGCCTAATTATGCCTGTACAGGTGACAGTAGTTTAGCTATCTCTGTTCAAATCAGACATTTGCACGACGGTGCTCCCTAGGGAGAGCTTCTTTGCACTAGTAATTTTTGCGGCGTGATTGTTTAAAAATTTAGATTAGTGTGATGAGATTTATTATTTGCATCGTACAAATAATAACCTGGGGTTCGGCGTCCGAACCACGATATGGTTGAGAGAGATGCCACAGTGAAGGGCTTTGGAAATTTTGTTCATGTAGTGTTCGTTTACGTGCATTGACATCGAACAGTACAGGGGCCTCCCCCATTTCGCATCTATTGAAATGGGACAACCACGGCCGGGAATCGAGCCCGTGACCTTTTGGTCGGCAGCAGAGCATTCCAGCTCTGACCCACCAAGGTGAACTCAATTAGATCCTACTGCATGGACAACCATAGAAGTCCTGGTGATTTGTGTAATAATACGATCTACTAAATGAATTACAAAGAGATTCGGGTAATATTATTCTATGCTCGTCGTTGGTTTAGATGGCCAATAATAAAAATTTTGGGCGTTACCGATATCAAATCTTTTTTTCGATGTTGGCATAAAGATCACACTTCTTGCTGGGTTTACTCAGGATAGCACACAGCGTAGTTTGCCTTCGACTCTTCGCTGTAACACCGACAGCTGGGTTGGCATTACCGGAACACATGTCACTTCCATCCATTGTATGGAACGCAGTTGACAAGGAATGTGGCCCCGTGTCCCGAAGCAGCGAGTGACAGGCGATAATCTGCCATGAATGGCTTCCCGCTTTTGCCAGAAACTGGGGACACAAATAGCCCAACCTAAATGAACGTATGTCTTTGCTACTAAACAACGGCTACTCCACAAATTTTTTAGGAAACACGGAGGTGCGACCACCTCATATAAAACTCAACAAGAAAGACTACGATGCCGCACAATATTGAGATCTTTGAGTATAAAATGAATACAGACAGCATCCAACCGTTACCAAGAAAAACGACCATGCCGGATTCCCATGATCTTCTGGAAACTATGATTCCTCTCGCTCATTTATGGTGACTTTCTGCCCACTCAGAGGATATCACGAGTACGCTTCAATATGCCAAATACAACGTAAAGTCTACGACTACTTATGTAGGTATCGGCTGTGCATGTTGTGGGAAAAGAATACAACAAATCGAGGTGCTCCGAACTCGGCATTATAACAAACCAACAATTCATCCACTTATCTCACATCCGATGGTCGCTTACCAGGCCGTTCATGGCTGCGTGATGTCGGTCTCACTCGAACACAAGGGCGGGAAAGGCCTCGGAAGGCTTTGGTATCTGCTCGGCGCCTGCCCAGCGTTTTTATACCCCAGACGAGAGATATACACGTGGCTTCTTTCTTCTTACGTCACAGCTGAGGCCAGGGGGGCGCCAATACGTCGTTTCGTTGAAGCTCAGAGGAACCGCGTGCTTCCGGTGGTACACCTCTCCTTCCGGGATGGAGAGTAAGAGCAGCAACGAAGCTAACAACTCGGCGACCATCTCCTGCGAGGAGGCTTTCTCAGTCATGCCACGTGCGCCTTCTCGCTGACCGGAGCAGTGATTGTGCCCGGAGACGCACCCTCTTTACCCTTATCTTCATCTAAAACACTGGACGCTGCAATGAGGAAAGGAGAACGCAGTGCGGTGGCCGGTGGTAAATAAAAAACAAAACAACCGGCATGCATTGTAGAGTGTCGAGGAAGCTACAGATGCACTCCGCGTTACGAATCGCCACTGGAGTGGTCACTTTTTGCTTTCTAAACTTTAGGAGCCCGCATAAAAATTGTCTCGAGACCGTTGTCGTTTGTCGATTTTGTCTTGTTTTTTTCGTAGTCTGATGTAATGCGCTTGCGCACTTACAGGGTGCATGCGATGTTGGGCTATAGAAAACGAGGGGATTATAACGCAAGCCCTGATAGTGTCTGTGGCGTGAGTAACTGCATCATGGAGAAAATCTCACTAGTGGCGGTGCACGCAACGCAGTGGGGCCGCAACGTAATTCAGCTCCCGTTCTATTACATCAGAGTCGCGTGCACCTGTTGCTGGTCGCGACCATGTCGGATTGTTTGGTCATGTTTGTTTATAACAATTGAGAACACCTGTGCGACGAAAGAGGACCGTTATCAGAACATTGCCATGCATAGAAGGGCTTGTAGAATGTGCGCAAAATGTCCACTCGTCTAAGCTGCCTAATTTCTGACATTGGGAATTCTAACAAACAGAGCATGCGGATAAGAGAGTGTCAATGAATGAAGCAGAATACTCTGCTTAAAAGAGCTTCATATCACAGTATAGAGATAGTCTGTTTTCTAGAATATTTTTGAATGCCTAGTCCTATAAGAGTTGCCATTGTTGGTTGTTTTGATGTCAGCAGGCCGGGTTGCATGCGACGCCTTAGGGATGAAATGTGACAATTAACTCATGACTGGAGGCTTTTTTCTTCGTAGATCATTGAGAAATACAGTAGAGCCAGCTTCTTCAAAAAAAAAAAAAAAAAACCGGGACATGATCTTAAATTCTGGTCAGCACAACATTTTTGTAATACTCAGTATCACTCCTTGTAGTAAGAAACGAGTCCACGCCTACATGTGCCACGCGAAATTTCACTCTACGAGATGAACCAATCTGAGGTTTTGTGAGTTTCTTGCAGTGGAATGTTCTCAATATTGCAGTACGTTGGTTTACACATAATTTTTGAATGCGTTGTTCCTACATCAAAAACGAAATTTGCAAACGAAAAAATCGTGCCACCTTAGTCGCGAAAATAGAGGAAGGTGCACATAAATTATGCTTGTGTACTTGGTATTGCTTTTACACTTTACCAAAACATTCATCTTGATGATCTCTTCACGAGACTTCCTAGTACTTTGACATCACGTTAACACACGGTCACCTTGTCTAGGAACTTTGAAAGCTCTTTGTTCGTGTTCTTGTAAACCTGCCAACCCCGAGCATAATTATGCCTCTTATCACTTTTTGATCTACAAAGGTAATTGATGAAATTCAATAGGTGCAAGAATGATTGCCTTAGTCAAGTATTGATCATACTTATGGCTTTGAGTTGCTTGATGTCTTATACTATAGACTTAGGCCTCTTCTAATGACGTACAATTTTAGTTGAAAGGAAAAATTGAGGGTTTGGACACGTAAAAAGGCTAATAAGCAAATCATAATTCGAGTTGTAAGTCTATAGGGTTTGTGTGGTATTCTACAAAGTTAAACCTTTCGTGTAAAACTGCCTTGTTGAACACAATTTTTTAACAAAAATAACGCTATTGCAAAGCTAAAGCTGCGATGAAGAGTTGTGCTGGTGCATGACACTGATGAGAATATACTATACGAAAGTGCATTAAGTTCAGTGTTGGGCAACAAGTAAACACGAGAGTTTTGTTGGTTTATTCGTATTGAAAGTTGTTTTTAAAACGTTTTATCTCAAAGTGTATTCACAACAGTGTTAGCGAAATGCTTGTACCACAACTGTTGTCTTTCTCTTTAGAGGGCGAAGGACTGCCTCACGCCATTTTTGAATTCTTGATTCTATCACTCATGTCATGTGTGTTGTGATAAATCAATAAAAGCAAATCAAATCGAGTTATCTTTATTGACAAGATGTATGCTCGTAGCGTTATGTTCTGTCAGATTTCATAACAAAAGCCATTGTGAACCTGCAGCTGTACAAATTGCAATTATATTTATGTCTCCCGTTCGAAAGCGTAAAGTTAGCACATTTTTTATACAAAGTACAATTGAATATATTTATGGCCTACACCCCCATAAGTGTCTTTGGATGTCTAAAGTATGCTGACCACGTCGCTCATGCCATGGTAACACAGGCATAAATTGGGAGGCCTAACAGAAAAGAAATAATGGTTGGCTAGACAACAAAGTAACCTTTATTTACCGCTGCTTCGAAGTTTCCAACCAATATATTGATAGAATTGATCTTTTAGGCACACCCGACGCAAAGTACGAGTTTAATGACCAAGACGAACACCATTGCGTAGTTACAAACAAGAGACATAGCGAGGAAGCCGAAGGTATGAAATGATGCGAAACCTTCAAATGCAGAGTGTTCAAGGAGGAATTGTTTCCAAAAGGGCACTCACGTTCTTCATGAGACCGGCTTGGGGATTTCGGATCAACTTCTGCCAACGAATACGTAACCGGTTCATGAAACATTGCTTCCACCAGTATTCCCGATTGTGTGCCCTAAGTGTAAGCACGTTTCAACAGCGCACTTTCAGTATAATTTAATTATGATTGTTTTGTCCGGTATCACCATACACGGTGAATTTGTGGTTCCATTGCGTGACTGCTGACTCGGATGTTGCGATACTTAATCGTGCCCGCCGTGACCTCTTTGTGATGTAGTCAAAAAGCAATGGGTCGGGTCCTTGTACTTATGTTTAGACATACTTTCAACAGACACATATGGTTTATCTAAGCAGTTGGTTGTTTACCGCTGCGCATTAATGCCAACAGCAACGTGTATATTAGCGGCATCAGATGCGGTAAGCTGATATAAAGTACAGACTCCCGCTGCGATAGTAGCCCCCAAGCTGCTAAATAAATCGACTTCAGCAGAGGGCACCTGACGTGACGGCTGCATAATAGGTGTACATATTTAATGATTATCAAATTGGATGACCATCACTGTATATACAATGGACGCTTCACGAACAAAATGGTCTATTTGAGAAGCAGTTTAAAGACCTCGCGTGGCTCTGGGGTACAAAAACTAGCTGGGAAACTATCGCCCAATATTGATTATTCAGGCATTCGCTAAAGGTTTCGAAAAAAAAAAAACGCTGCATTTCAGATTACTTAAGCTTTCTACTAAAAGTGACATTATAGGCGACGCTCAGTTTGGTTTCCGTAAAGAAGATTTACAGAGTTATCTTTGTTAAGGGTAAAAGAAATCAATTTAGAGAACATCAAAAACAGGATATTTACATCAGGTTTGTTGATTGATTTCACCAAGGCTTTCGAATTCAATGATGATAGCACGCTTTTTTTATAAGTTATAAATCTATGGCGTTCGAAGCACTCCCCTGGCTTTAATAAAATTATATTTAGCAGAGCGATCACTATGTGAGTGTTTAGGTAACCATCACTGATCTTCATTGCCTGCCATTAGGGGCACCTCGCAAGGAAGTGTATTAGGGCCCCTTCTTTTCAATATTTTTATCATTGATAATGTTAATGTCAACAAGTCAGTAAAATTTATAATATATGCTGATGATACCATAGTCTCGTTTCGCGGTTCAGATACAGATAGGCTGGTAGAAAGTTGTAATCGTTTCTTTTGTTATATTACATCAAATGAAGTTGAACCTAACCCTAAGAAAGCGAAGGTAATATTATTTAGAGCTAGCAACTGAGATGCTGAACGTTAAACAAGATATTATATGTGTAGGCTAAAAAATAGATTTTGTTGAAGAACATGAAATTCCCAGTGTAACATGTTCATCTTACCTAAGTTGGGACTCTCACGTAAATAATTTATGTAAGAAACTTTCTTATACAGTGCAAGCTCGGTGGCGTTGTCGAAAAATTCTCCCTACACATATAAAGTGAAGCGCTGTTTCAATCACAAAAATGAATGCTGTCTGGTTTGGCTTACTACAATTCAACGAAACAATAACAAAATATTTTGCAGAAGAACGCTGTGCGTCACATTGCCAGCACTGGGTATTTATTACCGACATTGACATATTTTCGCAAGTACAGTATAAATAAAATTCATTGTATGTGCGAGTTCAACATCTTGCGATGATTGTACATATTGTCACGCGCTAAGAGCTCGAAGGAACGTATAAAGGGACGCGACTGTCAAAAATCTCAGAGACAAAGAAGGACGTCTCCGCTGGCACGGGTTGCTCGTCTTCGTCTTCCTCGTTTACCGGCACAGAACTGACCCACTGTTCACTGGCACAGAACACCAGGTGGCATTACTCCTCCTCCTAAGAGAGCATCGACCCGATGCTCAAACAAAAGTGTGCACAGCAGTGGGTCGAAGTAGGTAACACAAAAAAAAACATTAAACAAATTAGTGCACAAGAGAAAATGCGTCCTGGGCCCGGCAATCGGAAATAAACGGCATTCACTGTTGACATGAAGAGTTCACTGGCACAAGAAGAAAATTCGCATCACCGCGTAAAGTATGGTTTTAGGCGGACTACGTGTACAGTCTCTGGGCGTGGTAACCTACGCTGGGATGATGGTGAGCCTCCGTCTGGAACCGCTTCGTAGTTCACGTCGCTCACACGTCTGAGTAGTTTGTAAGGTCCAAAGTACTTCCTCAAGAGTTTCTCACTGAGACCTCGCCGCCTAATGGGTGTCCAAACCCAAACTTGGTCACCAGGTTCATAATTAACTTCTCGATGGTGGATGTTGTACCGCCGTGTATCTGCGCACTGTTGAGTTCGGATGTGCACACGGGCCAGTTGACGTGCTTCCTCAGCGCGCTGAATGTACTCATTGATGTCAGGGGATAATTGGTCGAGCTTGTCGATGTCCTCATATGGAATCATGGCGTCCAGCATAGTTCTAACATCTCGACCATAAGCGAGTCGGAATGGCGTGAAGCGTGTAGTTTCCTGCATTGCAGTGTTATACGCAAATGTTACGTACGGCAGGATGTCGTCCCTCGTTTTGTGGTGCACATCCACGTACATAGAGATCATGTCGGCAAGCGTTTTGTTTAGCCTTTCTGTTAAACCATTACTCTGAGGGTGATCCGCAGTGGTCTTTCGATGGGTTGTGTAACTCAACCTGAAGATATCATCCAAGAGTTTCGCTGTGAATGATGTCCCTCGATCAGTGATGACATATGACGGGGCGCCATGCCGTAGCACAATTTGATGCATAAAAAAACTGGCAACTTCAGATGCGGTCCCTCGTGGCAACGCCTTCGTCTCAGTGTAACGCGTCAAATAATCGGTTGCGACAATAATCCATTTGTTGCCAGAAGAAGACAAAGGAAACGGGCCTAGGAGGTCCATGCCCACTTGTTCAAATGGTGTACGTGGTGGATCGATCGGTTGTAGATGACCTGCAGGTTTCAAATGTGGTGTCTTGCGACGCTGGCATTCACGGCATCCCTTCACGTAGCGTTTGACACAGGCAGACATTTTAGGCCAGTAGTAGAGTTGTCGCACCCGATCCATAGTTCTCGAGTAGCCCAGATGGCCAGATGTGAGCTCGTCGTGGCAAGCTAATAAGACGTCATCGCGGAGAACTTTAGGCACGACGAGAAGTTGAGATCTGTCACCAGCACCGACGTTCCTTTTGTATAAGACGCCATTTTGTAGGCAAAATGATGGCAACGTTCGCGACATTGGACGGGGAATGGGCGCGGTGCCACCTTCTAAATGATCTATAATCATTCTTAGATCGGCGTCATTTCGTTGATGAGACATCAGACCCGGTCCGCTGACAGTTGCCACGAAGGCGCCGTCCTCTTCTGCGCTAGTACTGGCGGATTGAAGAGGTGCTCGTGATAGCGTGTCGGCGTCTTCGTGCTTTTTGCCTGACTTGTACACGATGGTGACATCAAATTCCTGTAGGCGCAGTCTACATCGAGCTAATCGTCCTGAAGGGTCTCGTAGATTGGTCAACCAGCACAAAGCATGATGGTCAGTCACCACTTTAAATGGTCTTCCATAGAGATATGGCCTAAACTTTGTTATTGCCGAAATGACCGCGAGACATTCTTTTTCTGATGTGGAATAGTTAGATTCCGCGCGAGACAGTGTGCGACTTGCGTAGGCTATTACTCGTTCAATGCCATCTTGTCTTTGTACCAAAACAGCTCCAAGACCAATATTACTAACATCGGTGTGTACTTCAATGTCAGCATCTTCATCGAAGTGGCCAAGCACGGGAATGAATATTATTCATTTAAACGATTTATTGAGTTAATTGCTGCAACGCAACGCAACAGTCAAGCTATCAACACTCAAAATGTATATAAAAGAGTGGCTTATACGGCCCTTTAGCACTGACTGTGGACTTCAGTCATTGAAATATAACTTCCCATGTATTCCAAATAAGCATAAACATTTACATAAACGTGTGCTAAACATATTATGTATTCATACATTTCAAATATTTCTTTAAGTTGTACTACATTACACTGTATACCTCTGTGTATGATTAGCTACCATGCTTTTCTTCTGTTAGATTGCGTTGATATTATTGTTTCGTGTAGTTAACAGCCAGAATACAGGTGTACTATTGCTGTTTTTTTCTTGTGCTTGTATTAATACAAATTCTTTTCTGTAAATAAATTTGAGAATTCTGTTATTGCTGTCTATTGTTAGAAGTGCGTTCATTCAGAAATACTTTCCTGTTACTCTTATACAGGGACTGTTATATGCTTTGTTTTAGTAAATATTTCTTTCTACAATGTGTGATTACGACTTTTACATTTGGTGCAAATACTTTCAGCTCTCGCTTGTTGCCATGTAATTGTTCTTCTGAGTCGTAGTCAAACTGTTTAATTACTGCTTTTTGCCCAGGAGACCGTCCAGATTGTAATGTTTTCATTTTATTTAAAAAAAACTAAAGAAATAAATAGATAAATAAATAAATACTTAGTTTCCAAGCAGACTGCGTGGGTCAGATTGCGGCTGGGACCCTGAAATTTTTCTTTGATATTCATCGGGTCAACGCGGCCACAACGACAGCTTTTTCTTAACCCTCAATGGTTTAAAATACCGATTTCTGTTCTCGCCATTCTTGGGTAGATATGAAGTGTCAGTCACCTGAGGCGCATACCCGCCTACCAGTGGCTCACACCCACCCGCGGGTATGTGCCACTGTCTGGCGGAAAGTGTTTGACGACGTGCGTGACGGGATCATGCTATTATTCCTGTCATGACCAACGCATCGTATTCATCAAACCATTTACCTTCCGATACTGATTTTTGCTAACCGCAAGTTAATGGGATGATCACGAAAGCATGGTGAAGTAGATGACTACATAAATAGATACCAAGATAGACAGCAAAAGTGCTTGCGGTAGGCTAGGAATCGCGCTTCGCATTTAAAAGCGGCCCTATCAGTTTAGCTATTACAATAGACACAATGCCACATGGTGAGGGAGTATCAATATTTATTGAAGAAGATCAATATCAGGTGTTGTATCAAGGCACCCTGAAAGTGCCAGTGCCAGCTGAATAATGAAATAAGGGTGCCTGTTCACCCAGAAAACAAAGTCGTACGCTTCCTAAAAAAAGGCATTGACAGCGAATGTCTTCAATTTACTAAACACGAGGCTGTGCTGTTTCTGTTCGTTCAAAAAATGGCTGAACGTCTTTTTGTGTGCTACCTTAAATGGGTCTACGAGGTGGTCTATATGCGCTGGTCTAATCGATATGCGCCGGTCTTATTTCACCTTCACTTAAATGCAACTTCTAGCTTCTGCCTCGTAGATAAAGCCCGCGTGTTCTGGGTGAGTAGCCGAGCAGGATAAATTGGCACGCCAGCGCGAAGAAAATTATGAATTTTGCAAGAGAGAAATAAATAAATTCATAAATACTGTTGGTGGTACCTTAATTTTTATCACGAGCCATTTCATGTGTACGAAACACCGAGGCACTATTCAGTCTTGAACCCATTAACAGTCACATTTGTAAACAGCGTTGAAATTTTTATAGTTTTTTGAACTGATGACTGCAAGGTAGGTGTAAAAGCAGATGACTGTGCAATGTAGATATCTTGTGCAAAATAACATATTTATTTTTATATATTTATTTAGGTACCCTCAGGGCCAGAGGCATTAGAGAGGGGAGTGGGTTACAATAGTTACAAACATAATTTAAAACAGAGCAAAAAAAGGTATAAACACAACAAAACCAGGAAAATGCAATGTACTTCAGTGTTACACGTTATACAATGTTAGCTAAAGCAGTTTTAAAAAGTTGGTGGTCCGAGATAGTTGCCGTCAGTGCTGGTAGGTGGTTCCATTCCTGTGATGTACGCGGTATGAATGACTGGGAAAAGGAGTTAGTTCTGCAGGACGGCAAGCCGACTTTATGGATATGATTTGTGTGAGCTGAAATGAACAACCGCAACCTGAAATAAAATATTGAGAGGCATTATTTTCCTCTATTTTTATTTCCTGTAATGGAACGACGTTTCTGGCATACAACAGAAGCGTTGACGCAGTGCTTGCTATGCTCTGTGTCTATCAGCCATCGGTTGTTCCATGTCTTCGCCACTACAACAATCCCGTTGTGGATAGAAGACCACAGCAGTTTTTTACTGTACACGTAGCAGACACCCAAATGAGAAATAAAAAGAATGACACCAGAATTGCATAGTAACGTGTCGGAGGTGTTTGTATGTCATACTGTTGTTTTATAGCGCACAAAAGAAAAACACGGACAGAGAAAGATATGACACACTCAGGCACTAAGTTGCAACAGCGTTTATTTCGAGAACAAGGAACCATATATATATATATAGGCAGCATCGCTTTTGAACCATTGTAATTACAAACACTGAAAATTCAGCTATTTTTTGCGTAGATAGGCTCAATTCATAGAGGAAAGAACCACCGACAGTTTGGAGATACCCGCATCTGCCAGCCTATCAATCAATTCAGCCTCGATAATTTCGCGGGTTCGCTGACACGTGCTGGTTCTGATGTTGGAACATTCCTAAAAAATGGACTAACACGTGCTACAGTATACTGATCGTTATTCCCTAATATGTTGATTTTGGCATAAGAATTGCTAATAGCACCTCTCAATGGTCGCTGTTATAAATTACGGTACACTTCAATTAACAATTAACACTGCAGTATACGAAGTGACGGACGCGAACTCCCTAATTTCAACGTGACAATTTTGCCGTAGTCCATCGCTTAATATGAACAGACTTACCAACGTACGTCACTCTATCCTAGCTGAATCATAGCATTTTGCGAAGTCTAGAAATAGAGCACTCCAATTCAAAGCACATGGCTCATTGAGGAGACACATTATTGCTTGGCCAAAGGCGTAAGATGCTCTCAATTGGTGTTTGTTTGTAAGTTACGACTTGGGCATGAGCGTTAGAGCTGTGAAGTGGCGAATAGAGTCACTGTTCTTCCCCTTAATGATTAAGCCGATCATTGTAGCTTGTAAAGAGGCATGAAGAATGCATAGTTCGGCGGAGGGAACTGCAACCAGTTGAAAGCGTACGTGTCTTCCGCGACTCGTGGCTGGCATGCTGCTGTTCCTGCTCATGATGACATGGTACCCTAGGAGAAGCTGTGATATTAATTTCGAAGGAGATAAAGATAAATTTAATCACTTTTTCTCGCAAAAAGAGCACACAGTGTAGTTCTCGTCCCCTACCCAAGCCCGCAGCAATGAATAGTCGATACAAGGCATACAGTTGGCGATCAATTCCAGAATCGTCTTGTTCGAGCAGCTGTTTTACTCCATGTAATTCCAACTGCATCAGTGAAGCTATATATGTACAATTATGCATCCAGCTTGTTCGCGGCCTGTGATGAATATTTATAGAAACACATTTGTATGCACAAGGACGCGTAAGGAAATATTTCTGTGCATTCGAACCAAGGACGCCAGTTCATCACTGTCACTCAGGGTACGACCGCATGCAGAAGTCGAGCGCCTCAGTATCCGCGAGGAGAAATTGAGCTTGAAGCAGCCAACATCCCCTTAAGGGAGCTTGCTTCTGTAGATGGTGATCACGTGTCTGCTTTGTGCAAAGTAGTGCGTTCGGTTTCACAATCTTAGATAGTCTTGGTTACATGCAGCAGTTAAGCTCTCCACTTCCAGACGTGTCGAATTTCATCGTGAACGAGTTTATAATTAACGGGAATGGGAAACAAGTTTCATAATATCTTCTCCATGGAGAGCCATCGCTCCGGATGCTACAGCTGTTTTCAGTGCTCTTGTACTTGAAATGATCGAAAGGCTGTGTGCTGTTTATTCTGCTTGACTCATTCTGCATCTTTGGGGCGAAAAATTTCCCTGCCTCATGTAGCAGCAAGCAATTCATATGCGTGACACTTCGGGTAATAAGTTTGTAAGATATTTGATAGTGCGAAGAAATGGCGATGTTTTATATCTTTTCAGGAGCTGAGGCTATTAATTATATATAGCTGCAAAAGCCATGACGTTATCATGGCAAATGGTGCCAGGCCATCTCGCAGTAGCTACGTTGATTCGCGTCGTACTTGCAACATATTCGCACGATGTCCAAGTTATGCCTACAAGGCCGATTCCGTTTATGATTTGGAAGCTTACGGTATATATAATAAACATGTGAATTATATGTATTTAACAGGAGTTATGAATATTGTCAAGGCACTCCGATGAACTTCAGTTACACAAAAATGAATTTAAAAGTGGCTAGTACGGCAAGCTAATATATAATGTTATTGTGCCTGATCGAGCACACGTATACATATATCAAGCGTATTCACAGAAAATAGTTACTAAACCAGACCATTCTTTTATATAAATTCAACTAGGTATCATGGCAGCTGAAGTGTCAGAGTGGTTGGTTTGTTCGTTGGCAAGCATGCCACCTTTTACAGGCTCCCTGAAACAGCACTGAAGCAACGCTACAGGGAAACACATGTGATTGAGTTTAAAGACGAGAGAACTTCTTTGCGCAGCTGAGGAGCGACGTCCTCGCCCACATTTATTTACACAATTAACAACAAATTGCATGGCTGAGTGTATCTTTCTTCGGCTTAGAAGGCACCTAAAGCGGCTGACGCTTGCTACCAGGGGCTGACGCTGTACATGCTTTCATCGGAAGATTATTCTCACTGCAAGGGGAAAAAAGAGTAAAGATGAGCACAGTTGCCGGTTGTTTGTGATCAAGCACACCATTCCGCACTTGAAACCGCCATCGAGTATGACCAAATGACACGTATTTCAGCCATTTGATGTATCTAGACAGAACAGCGAATGAAATTACTTCATGGTACAATGAAACAAAGAAATAGACAAATACAAACGTCGCTGTGTTTGCAAGTGCGTTGACTGGAGGAAACATATATGGCTAATTAAAGCCACACAAGAAAGACGTGCGCATGCTCATTGTAAAAAAAAACACTCGTAAGTGTTTTAAAACACATGAGACGGTTCGCACACACAAGTTCAAAAAATTTTGATAATTTCCTCTTCAAAGAGGCCTTTCTCTTGACGAGACAAACCTCAAGCAAGGTGATTTAAGCATTTGTTTCTTTTTCTCGAAATGTGATAGGTTTCCGCCACATCTTCAGTACACAAACTTTTATGAACAAAGGAAATACTCGTATCAAGAAACAATGTACAGCCACATTCATAGCAGTGCTTGGCCAAGTTAGTCATTGCTTTGGTAAGAAATTTTGGTGTCCTAGCAGTTCCAACTTAACACAGCTGCCTGTCTGTCCAATATACGCATGGTAACGTGACAAGGGGATATGATTTACGACACTAGTTTTAAAGGATACAAACTTGCTCGTATGGTTTATTTTAAAGCATAACCTCTTACCGTCATACCCACTACGTGTTGCGAGCCATGAATCTTACTTTTCCCAACTAATTAGGGCAGAAAGAACTTACTGAATTACTGAATCTTGAATTCGTTTCAAGTGAACGCTCATTTGTGCTGCTTGAGGACTACAACTTTGCCGACCACTCCTCCGGTGCCGCCGTAGCCTCCGTAGCCTCCGTAACCACCATAAACTCCAGAACCACCGTAACCACCATATCCTCCTCCCAGACCTCCGTATCCCGTGCCAGCGTAGGTAACACCACCGCCGACTACTCCGACACCACCGCCGAGACCACCGCCGAGACCAACACCGAGACCGGCACCTCCAACGCCTCCACCAACGCCTCCATCGACACCGCCGAGACCAGAGTGAGCTACAACGGCTCCGCCGCCTTGAATCTGAGACACGTGGTGCACAGTACGGACCAGGAAGGCTGGTCCAGCGACGGACTTGCCAGCGCCCGCTCTGCCACTGTTCAGTAGGACTACGCTGCTTCCGACTCCGACATTGCCACCAGCTCCTCCGAGGCCTCCGGCACCAACGCCTCCAAAACCGACAGCGCCTCCCAGACCTGCACCGTAGCCTCCACCGTAGCCTCCACCGTAGCCTCCGCCATAGCCTCCTCCGTAGCCTCCGAGACCTCCGCCAGCAACGTATCCACCACTAAGGCCTCCGCTAAGACCACCGCCCAGGCCACCTCCACCTCCTCCGATGAATCCGCCAAAGGCACCGGCAACCAAGGTGCTTAGCAGAGTACCACACACCTGTCATTGTGACGTAAAGAATACTCGTGTTTTCATTACGTTCGTGTACTAACAGCTCATCAATATTACCAATTTCTATTTCGTAGATACGTTAGAACGTTTTATACAGCTGCGTAACCTCAACTGACCACTGTTTTTTACTGCTTGTCATGTTGCTTTTCTTAATTTAGTTGGATGATTATGAAAAAAAGATAAACTCACGGTGTTAATTACATGGTCCTGTTATTTTTAAATTAATGCCTACCACAATGGCCCCGAGGCAATACAGTCACTGCTGTGTGATAAGCGGTGGTTACAACTTTTGGGCCGTTACTGTGAAGCATGTTTCCCAAGTCACTACACCTAACGAAGGTGCCACTAAAGATTAGTGTTTCTTTTATCGTCAGTGTCCAGTTCATTAGCGATATTCACGCAATCCCGAGTATCTTGCTACAGGAAATTCTGAAGTTCGTGCTTGTCGATGATGCATACACTACTCATGGTTTGTGCGTGTAGCTTTCATTAGCTGTCTATCTGCGAAATTGTCTACAAAATTTCTTGAGCTGGAGTTTAAGGAAAATATTTGCGGTCACCGAAGAGGAGGAACTTCTGTGATTATGGTGACCGCCCTATCTACAGCTATTATGCTTTAGATGAACCAAAGCTATAGCGCACCATGCAAATGACATGACAAACCAAGCAAGTGGACTATATTTCATTCTCTAATAAGTACGTCGAAAAGCACCGCATATGTTGAACATTGATGTGTTGTGTCACAATGTGGGCCTAATAGTTAGGGCGGAAGTTTACCTGCTTGCACTTAGCATGATTATTAGCAGACCGAGATCAATAAAACAGCCGATAGTGAGCTGCAGAGTAATTTGGAATAATGGTGGCAAACCGATACATCAGCTAAAAAGTACGATTAAGCTAGCATGATCATATCTTCCTGTGCGTACCCAGCGGTGCTCGAAAAATAATTTTTAGGTTATTTAAAGAGCAAAGGCTTTGCATTGTCAGCAATTGGTGCGTTGACAGGGCTCACATTTTCCCTTTTAATATTAGCTGATCTCATGCTATAATGCCTTAACGCCTGATACAATAGTCCTGTCGGAGTGCTGAGACGTATATGCAAAAAGTACGATGTACCACTATCGCATTGACGCGAATTGAAGCCGCCGTAACTGACGAAAATGAGAGCCTCTTCGAAGCCACTGCTGTGCTCGAGCCTTGAACGCGCGGCAAACTTCAAAGTAAATCCTTACCAAGACGTTCATGATGAGGTTTGGTCGACTGTTCGGTCCAAAGCAGAGCAACCGGCTACGGATGATGACTGCGAAACGGCAACGCGGGCTTTTATACCCAACCGCACCGCAGTGTCCTTTCTACGTCACAAAGGGGAGGGTCCACAAGACGGACCCCTATTTTATATGAATGTACACTCTCAATTGAAGCTAACCGCTTCCGATGCCCTGCCCATTTCTTTCTTTTCGGACCGCATTGGAGAGGAGAGAGGGGGAGCGTCCCTGCGACGACTGTCCCATGAAAATGCTGCGCCCCGCCGTTCGTGCGGAAGCAGAAGCAAACGAAACGCGACGCGCACCCAATCCTTTCCCTTGCTTATCTCCATCTGCGATTCCGGCTAAACAATGACGCGCGGGCGTTGGGAAAGCAAGTGTAACCAGTGGGAAGGTGGCACCGCAGGAGTCGGAAGAGCCGCCGCCTAACACTGCTCGATGGATTTGCGCACCGCGTTTCATTTTGGGCAGAGAATTACGGAGAACTGGGCCAGTTGGTACACATTCAATTTAAAGAGAGTGGGCGTGACAATGGACACGCACAAAAAAACAAGACTTTCGGGATGCCGGTGTTAATAAGAATAAGAACTTTTACCACTGTCGAAAACTTGCTAGCTTATCTCTTTTTCATAAAATCTATCGTCATCCATTGCTTCATGACTATTTTTTTTTCTGTCGCCCTTATCAATCTTTCCTCGCCGCGATCACGATCAGACGCATCACATGCCGTACGTCATCATTGGCTAATTCGTTCGTACCCAAAACAATCATTGAATGAGACCAGCTGCCTCGAACTACCGCAATAGAATGGAACACTTGAAAATGTAATGAACTTAAAAAAAATGATAGCAATGTTTAGCGTTTCGCGCTGTTCTCAATAACTCATTTCGTTTTCTTTCAGTGGCCTATCATTATGCAACTCTGTTCGTTGCGTTTCTAGTTATTTTTTCTTCAATATTTCCAACAAGCGTTGGGCCATTGTCATGCTATCAACGTGTTTATGATATGTGTTTTAGTTTCCAAATTTGTTTTATGCTTTATGTGTATTCACTGCATTATTTTTCTTACCCCACCCCCTATGTAATACCCTCCCAGTGAGGGTCTTTAGGGGTTTCTTGAAATAAATAAATATAAATGGCTTGGTTTTAACGTGACGCTGTAGTGGAGGGCGGCGGATCTTTTGACCACCTTATGTTCTTTAACGGGCATCTAAAGCTAAGTACACAAACATGATGCATTTTCTTTTGCCTCGCAAATACAGGAGTCATGCTACCTGCGGGTCAACAGGGGTGTTCACGGTTGTGGCGTTTTGTCTCTTGTGTGTACCGTGGTGGTGCAACTGTTACAGCACTCGGCTACTAATCCGAAGGTCATGGGTTTGACTCTGTCCTGGCGGTACAGAGCTGTTAGCGAAGTATCTGCGCCACACACGTTTTTCCCCTCGGATAACACCACTTTTACGGAAGTAGTTGTACGTAGCGGCGGGGCTTGTTTAATCTCTGTCACGTGCCTGCGTTGGAGCTTCTCTTCGACTGGACGAATGTTCCGCTTAATAACACATGCGCTTTGCTGGAAAAAGCGGATGGTATAATTACGTTACTTACCTGAGTCTACATACGATGAACCGTGTTCACTTTAGGACAACAGCATCTCCCTACTCATCTCGCCTCAAGTGGGAATTGGGGGTTAAATTACAGCACCGGCGAGATCAGTTGCTGTTTCATAATAAAAAAAAAATCGCGCAAAGGGAAGACAAAGAAGTTGAGCCCTTTGTTTGCATCACTTCCCCGATATTCTTCCAATAGAGGCGCAGTAACTACAGCAGCTGCAAGTGAACGTGGCTTGCGATTGAGATGGAAACGAGTGCTGCTATTGGCGACTATACTTTGCGAGCGTGTCAGGCGATGAAAATTTCTCGTTTGCTTCGTAACTACTTTCTGGCTACGCGAAACTTCTTTTGTGGCGCATATAGTACGCATGTTCCATTGATTTCTCATAAAGTTAGAAACTAGCCTAAATGAAGGTTGCTCTGTCCAGCTCATTTATAGTATTGGACAATGTGCGCGCATGTCCTCCTACACTCTCAATGAGTTTGCATGTTTCGAGGTACTCAATCCATGGCACGAATGCAAACGCGGACTGTCAAAGTTGTGCACATGAAATAGAATGCGTGGCTAGTATGCTGCTGACACTGCTCGTCGCCTATGCATTATAATTGCGCTGCTTACTATTTATTCATGCCTAAACACAGAGTGTGTCATTGTGTGAGCTTGAGAAAAAGAGATAGATGTATACAACGAAGTGAATCTGAACCGTTCATTTTCAATCAGCTCTCACTACTTGAAGCTGAAAAAGAGTCGTGAGAGATCAGAATGAACTTCCATCTACTATTCTAAAAGTATAAAAACATCAATATTTATATTTATTATTTGAATGCGGGTGCAAAATTACCGTAAGAAAAAATGTACTATTGCCTACGAATGGCATACCGATGCGCTGAACTGCAAATTTCGTCATTTTAGTGTTATTGGTTGCTGAGAGACCAATTCGATAAGATATCTATTGTGATCAATACTACGCTTTACCAAAATCACTAGGGAAAGTGATTTTCGTTAATTATATTTAGGGCTTGTTGTCGCGAAAAGAAAAAAAAATGGGCTCACCAATTACTTTAGAGAAGCGAAATTTGTTTAGCGATGTCGCTGATCTTGTTCTGTTTCACATTCTCTCGTCGAGGAACCACTGATTTGTCAACATTCCCGTGGAATGAGGTTGCCGCCATCTTGTTCTGCGCACATGTGACGTCCTTAAGTGCCACCGTTATTCTAACTTTCACTGTCATAATTGTTGACAGGGAACCGCACAAGTTGCCGAACTTCTCCGCAGCTGCTCTCCTCCGCCGCTTGCAATTCAGAGATAATCCTAGACTTCTCCGAAAGTGTCAAAACCTTCACGTTTGTAATCGGAGGTAGCATCTTTTTGGAAGGCCAAAGAACACTGCACGTACGCAAAGCGCAGAAGATCGTGGCGTGCGCACGGAGAAACGTGTGGCGCAGAGCAGATAGGCAATCTACAGGATGTCTGTCGGCATGATGTCCGTTTAGTGGTTGTCGTCTCTTGAAGCTTCATCTGCAGACCTACTTGCAAAACAAGCACGTTAGCAAAATAATGTTCGCAGTAAACAAACGAACAAAAAGATCGTGGCAATCATCGTCATCCGGCCTAAAGTGAACCGCAGTGGTCGCACCGGTTCCCACGGAAACTAATGTGCCGAACATGTCGAACGAGCGGTGCTACGATTTTCGTACCTCGGCTTGGCATCTAGTTTATGGGTCGAAAAAGTAACGTTGCTGATTCCTAGTGAAAACTTCAGCGATTGTGGGTGTGAATATTTAAAACATCATCGCAGTCACTAGAGGGAGAGAGAGAGAAAATTTAATGCGGAAAGGCAGGGAGGTTAACCAGAAAACATATCCGGTTTGCTACCCTGCACTGGGGAAGGGGTAAAGGGGAAAGGGAGGAAGAGAAGCACAAACACACACACACACACTCGCACACAGTAGTGTCACAATCGTTCAACGAGGCGGGTCGCTCGCAGAAACTTCATCAGCGCCTTCGTTGCTTTCTGGCGTGAGGCTCGATCTTTCCGACATTCCAAGATTGACTGCTCAGAAAATGGCTGGTCGTCGAGGCGAGCAAACACTGCTGAGAGGGACTGTCGCTGAGAGCTGTACTGGGGGCACTGACATAAAATATGTTCAATTGTTTCGTCATTGTCGCAATGGTCGCATGTAGCGCTGTCTCTCATTCCGATGCGGCAGGCAAAAGCGTTCGTGAAAGACACCCCAAGCCACATACGGCAGAGAAGGGTCGTCTCGGATCGGGGTAGGCCAGATGGAATAGTAAGTCGTAGGCATGGGTCCAGGCGGTGAAGACGGGTGTGGAGAAAACCGGGCGTATTCCGCATAGACCTCGCGACATCCTGCGCAAGCGTATTAATCTTTGCTGCTGCGTCGCTTCTTGATAATGGAATAGGTTCCATCACTCCATTTTCGTGAGCATTCTTAGCTGCATTGTCGGCATGTTCGTTACCGATGATGCCGCAATGGCCTGGTAACCACTGAAAAGATATGTCATGTCCTTCGTCTATTAGGTGATGGTACAGTTGTCGTATTTCGAGCGCCAATTGGTCCTGAGGTCCACGACGTAGAGCATTGTGTAGACATTGGAGAGCTGGTTTCGAATCAGTAAAAATGCTCCATTTTTGTGGTGTCTCTTGGTCAATCCTGTGGAGTGCGCTGCGGAGTGCCGCGAGCTCCACGGCTGTCGATGTCGTCTTGTGTGACGTTCTGAACTGGATGGTTTCGGCTCTTGCTGGGAAGATCACAGCTCCTGCAGATCCTCCAACAGTTGTCGAGCCATCCGTGTAAAGTTTGACATGATCTTTGTATTCTTCGTGTAGCATGAGTAGAATCATCTGCTTTAAAGCTGGCGCCGAGAGCTCCGCCTTCTTGCGAATCCCCGGCACTGTCAAGCGCAGTTTTGGTCGGTCCAAGCACCAAGGAGGTGTTAGTATCCGTTCCGGAGGCGTGTAGACTGTTGGAAGGCACTCACGGAAGGTCAATATTCTCTTACAGAAGGAGGCACTCGGTCGATCTTCTGGAAGCGAAGCTAGGTGGTGGGCAGGGGCGCGAGCAAGGTGTCTAATATGAGCTCTAAGCACCTCCAAAGTAATGTGCACTGTGGCCGGATGATCTTTGGCGATTGCGATGGTTTCCGCTGTTGATGTACAGCGTGGTAATCCAAGACAAACTCTGAGTGCCTGGCCCTGGGCGTTTTCTATTGTGCGTATACTGCTTTTGCAAGCGTTCGTCAGAACCGGCAAGCTATACCGCAGGTACCCCAGAAACAGCGTTTTGTACAAATGCAACATCGCGTGCACTGATGTGCCCCACGTTTTGCCTCCGAGGAACTTGAAAAGTTGTGCGATGGCCGTTAGGCGCTTCTTTAGAGTGGCCACATGGGGACTCCAGCAGAGATTTCGATCGATCGTGA